GCTGCAGAAGTGTGGTTAGCTGCAGAACTTCACTAACACTAATGAAGGATGGGATGCAGAGGGACTGCGCTGGGGTTGTCTCCTGGAAAACTCATACCTGTTCATGACCTCAGGGCCTGAACTAGAAACAGCAATCCTTGGTGATCAGCCAAAGGAGAGGTTGCCTGCTGTGCGTGAGTTAGTTACACTGGTCTCAAAGCAGGCACCACAAGGTGATACCACATAAAATGCCTATCAGGAGCTCCAAAGAGCCCCCATCTCCTGCCAAGGCCCTTTACAGTTGATCAGACTGGAAGGAGGCAGCCCCTCAAAATGGAAAGGGAAGATCCTGTTTCGTTAGCAAGGGCTCAGTGGGACTAAAGAACCAGCCTCATACAGCATCTGGTTCCCCTTCTCCTGAGCCCAAGGCTTCCTCTGCCTGGTTTGCTCCTGAGCTGAGTCTGGTGGTGTTGATGCACCAGGCATGGTATGACTGGCGGAGGTTGGAGTTGTAAACCTTGGAGTGACTACTGGTTTTCTGTTGTTTTATGAGTATTGGCTAAGTATTTCTGGGCTGGGGGGAGCTCTCTGTCACTAATTACAGCTGCCTGGCAGAGGCACCAGGGGATTCCTTCCCTGGCAGGAACCAAACCAATAAGTAGTTTGTTTATGGCACTCACTATTGGGTGAATTTACTACAGCAGCCAAGAGCAAATCCTGAGAGTCCTGTATCAGTTTCAAACAGGCTGGAAATTGCTCTCCAGCTTGTTAAGTCCAACTGTTTTGTGAATGAAGGGGAGTAAATCGCTGTTCATCCCCTTTGCCTTACCAGAGGGGCCTCAAAAGGCTGCCCTGATAGTGGAGGAGCAGGGAAGGATAGGAGAGTAACGTGTTCTTCACAGAGGACAGAAGAAAGTAAGACTTTGTACCAGGGGCAGGGGTTTCAGCATGCATATCTAAGAAGCTTCCTTAAGAATCAGGATGGGGACTTGCCAGAAGCACCTGTGAGAGGGCACTCCATTGCTGGAAGTGCTCTGCACTGTCCTGCACCCATGCTTGCTGCGCAAGCTGCTGCCCTGGATACCCTGCTCTGCCAGCCAGACTCTTGCTGCCTGGCTCTGGTTGGAGTGTAGGGTCTTTGGGACAGGGACCACCTCTGCTCTGGGTTCCTACAGCATTGTGCATGTGCGGTGAAGAACCATAGCTGGGATTTCCAAGCTGTCCTGCAATGGGGCTGGTAGCAATGCTGGACAAGTGGCAGGGCTTTGCTAGTGGGACTGGGAAGGTGTGTGGAGAATATAGCAGGCTGGTTTTGAGGCCCAGACGTTCTCCGTACAGGTCCCAGTCCTAGAGCTGGAAGGAAGGTATGCCTTACCCTAGTGTTTGCCCAGCTCTACAAGATTGGGATCATCTGTTGGAAAGGTAGGGTAGCCCCTGAGTTAGTGAGGAGAGTTTGTTGGACTACATTAAGCACAGCAAGGAAGGAGTGGTAAGTTATTCCCGGTTTTCACTGCGTACGTGCTAGCCTCTGGTGTGGAAGTGTCTTGCACTTGCAGATTTTGGCCTCATAAAGCTGGGCTGTTGTGAGTTACCATCAGGCACAATGAGAAATATGTTTCTCAGATCAAGTGTTCCTTGGCTTCTCAGTCAGCTGGAGTGGCTTTTGGTTGAGAGCCTCTGGGTAAGGATGAAGGGGAAAGAAAATAAAGTGGATGTTGTTGTGGGAGTCTACTATCGACCACCCAGCCAGGACAATGACACCGATGAATTATTCTACAAGGAATTAAGGGATATCTCTAGTTCAACTGCCCTTGTCCTTATGGGTGATTTTAACTTCCCAGACATCAACTGGGAATATCATATAGCAGACACAAACAGGTCCAGGAAATTTCTGAAGCACGTTGGAGATGATAACTTCTTGGCGCAGGTACTGAGGGAGCTGACTAGGAAAGATCTAAATCCTAGATTTGTAGTTTGTAAACAGAGGGACTTGTGGGTGAAGTGGTGATTGGTGGCTGGCTTGGTTGCGTTGACCACGAAGTAGTTGAGTTTCAAATCGTTGGCGATAGGAGAAAAAAACTTTGGATAGGAGCCAGGAAAACTTGGACTGTGGATATGGGGAGAGCAGACTTCGGGCTGCTGAAGGAGCTAATTAGTAAGGTCCCCTGGGAATCTGCTTTTGAAGGTATTGGGGTACATGAATGGGGTCACTTTTTAAGAGCCATCTCTTAAGAGCGCAGGAGCAGGCAATTCCAAAGTGTCAGAAGTCAAGCAAGCAGGGCAGAAGGCCGGCTTGGCTGAGCAGGGATCTTCTAGAACTTAGGCAGAAAAGGAAAGTGTATGGACATTGGAAGCAAGGACAGGCGACACAGGAGGACTACAGCGATGCTGTTTGCCACTGTAGGGAGAAAATTTGTGCAGCCAAAGCTCGATTGGAGTTCAAGCTGGCCAGCACTGTGAAGGACAACAAAAAGGGCTTTTTCAAATACATCAACAGCAAAAGGAGGATCAGAGATAACATTAGTCCATTACTTGATGAGGTCGGTCACCTCACAAATAGGGA